TTCGTACATACTCATATGTTTTTAGTTAACGTTTGGAATATTTAATATTTGATAGAACAAAAGTTTTTTGTTTTTAATTTAAAATTCAGTTATTATCGTTTCTGTATTTGTTGTTGTTGTTGAATTGATCTTTTTTTTTTTTTTTTTTTTTTTTTTGAAGACTGTAGGCTAATTTTTATTCTATTTCTCAGAACGTAGAACGAAAAACTATTTTTGATCAGATTAATTTTGAAAAATTATTTCGCGCGCGTGTAGCATTTTTTATAAATATAAATATATATATATACATAATATTATAATAATAATAATATAATATAATTATAATAATTATAATATTATAATAATGATATAATATAATTATATATATAATATTATAATAATTATAATAATATAATAATATAAATATGTATATGCTTTAGTATTTGAGTTTAAGAAAAATATGTTTATTCACATTTGTATAATGAATATAATAACATCACGCAAATGTAATGTAAGGTGAAGATGGCTATCACGTGGAAAAAAATTGTTTGCCTTTCTAACGCAAAAAATGTCTGTCCGATTTTTCTTTTTCTTTCTCTCTCTTGACGTGTAAATGTTGTGGATTCCAAAGATCCGACTAAAGTCGGATATGCATGCACATAAATAAATAAAAAAATATATGTATTGTAATATTTCTTCCTTATTTTTACGAGACTTTCTATAATATATACCGATGCTCTTACTTTCTTAAAATGAAATCGTAAAATCCGTCTTCACTTGGAAAACTTATTAACAAGTTTAGATAATTAATTACACGCATATATAGCATAAATATATATTTAATATAATAAATATTTTCTATTTCTTTTCTTTTTATTTTCTTTTTTCACACGAGTTCCGGAAAATTAACTTAACAGATAGATCAACGAATTTTTTTGCATCGTGTTGTTGAAATAATTAAATAAAAAAAAAAAAGAAGAAAGAGAAATTAGCGTTTTTAAAATAATATCCTTTCGAATGGTACGGCAACGTTAACGGTTGATGTTTATTGATAGATTTCGAAGAAAGCAGACGTCTTTCTCGTTTATTAAAAGAAGAGAGAGAAAAAGAAAATAAAAGATAAAGAAGAAGAAGAAGAAGAAGAAAAATAGTAAAAAAGAAATTAATTATCATCCCTCGTTCTCGCATCATCTCAACGGAGGTTTACTTTACGTTTAACTATTAATAACGAAAACAAAGAACGGTGGTTTGGTTCTTGACACTCGTCCAAAAAGTTGCTACACGGTAATTATACCAAGACGTTTACTCTGTTCCTCACTTGGCATTCGGTCGAATAATGTTTTGTAGGAAGTAGGAAGACTTTGACCGAAACTTTTAAATGCAATTACAACGTTTACTAATGCTAGTATAAAGTAATTAAAAAAAAAAAAAATAAATAAATAAATGATATACGATTAAAAACAAATTACTAACGTTACCTCTTATTATTTGACTTTAATTTGTTATTAACACTAGATTTATCAGACCAGTCATTTTGAAAATTATAAATCCATTTATCTATTAAAATTATTATTGTTAAACATTTTTTTGTTATTTTTTAAGAGTAAATAATGACTGGAAGCCTCAGAAAGCACTTTTTTTTGTATACACTAGTCATTTTGACTAGTGTGGTAGAAATAGGTATACTGAAAATGGTGGTATATCTAGTGTTAAAATCAAAAAGGGAAGAAATATAAAAATAATATWATTAATTAATCGAAAAAAGTGCGACCTATATATCTCATGGTCTATGCAAAAAAAGAAAAAGAGAACACCATGAACGTTTTATAACAATTCGACGATTTGAATTCCTATAAAACGAGAAGAAGATAACTCGCGCCAAAATTATACCGTAACGAATGGTAGTTAAAAGTAACGAGTTAAAATTCTATCGACCGTTTTATTAAACAAAAAAATCACCCGTTATAATAATTTTCACGAATATACAATATTAGATAATAACAATGGGTTAAAAATGGCTAAAAACAAAGCACAAAAAGAAAAAAGGAAAAAGAAATGATAAGCGCAAATTTTATTCTTAGAAGAAGGGTGAGGGTAAGGAACGTTAAGTTAGTTACGGAACGGTATTTGAATTAGGCGGGAAAGTAAAATTTAAATTGGACAGGGATGTAGTCATTATTAATGCGGGCCTAGGTCACGGGCGGCGGTCCGGTGTTGGATGGTTTTTTGGTGCCGGCTAGTTAGTTCGCGAGAAGGCCAGTGGCCGCGCTCGTGCTCGCTATAAATAATCATGGCGCGGTGATGTCCAAGTATAGACTGTTGGTAATGTGCCAGCCTGCTGAGAGGCTTCGGTCTATTTTTGATACTGTCGCCGCTAGTACTGCTACAAAACGACGATAGCTCTCCTCTAATCAAAACCACGGCCCACAACCGTGGAAACCCCCCAAAGAAATAGAAAGGATATATACATTGACAAATAATACAAAATATAATCTAAGAAACAGGCTCGTATTCATAGGTGGTGCAAATCGCCTTGCACAGGGCCTCCATAAATTCTCAAAATTTCAATTTATTATTTTTTTTCTTTTTTGTTTCACATTATTATATAACATTCATATTTATAAACATAAGTATTGTTCACATTTCATTTGATTAATTAATTGATCAATGAGATATTTTTATTATTTTAAATTATAAAAATTATATTAAAACCATCCGTGTTTCGTATAGGGTTCTGTGATATGTAGAAACAAACCTGAATCTAAATTCACTAGTCCTTCCCCTTCTCTTTTTTTCCCTCCAATCATCAGCAATATCTCCAACGTCCTGACGACAACTTCACCCTTATTCGTTCTTTTTTTCTATTTTTTGTCTCTTCTTTTCTCTTTCCTTTTCTTCTCTTCTATTTCGTTGAATTGCGTGTATTTGTGAGCTGACCTTGAGGAAGCATCGATTTATCAGGCCGATTATGTCAAAGCGAGGCTACGACGACAGCTATAGCTTCGACGAAGGAGAAACGACGCGCCGACGACCGCTCCTGGTTAATCTAAATTTCGCTCTCTTTCCACGATTCAGGGTCGACAAAATCAAAATAATAAAAAATAAGATTCAATGGGCGCGCTTCTAACCGAATTTTGAATGCGGAAAAAACAAAAGAATCCATATTTTTTCTTACGATTAAATATGATAACACTTTATTGTAATACAACAATTTTACAAATTGAAATACTAATTTTATTTTTATCTTTTTAATAAAAGTCACATTTTTTTATACATAAACATGTTGCCAAGTATAAAAAATGTAAATTCCTTTATAAAAAAAGAAACGACATGTATCTTGCATTGACCTTGATAGTTTTAATAAAAAAATACAAGAACAAACACCGTTATATTTTTATTTCGAAAATCAAAGAATATTAGTGTCTAGTATTATTTTGATAATAATCGATAGGAAGTTAATTATAATTATTCGTGATGATTATTTATCTTTCATCGAATATATTATATAATTACTTTCACATGATTATATATTCTTCCTCTCTATAATAAATTATTTATTATTTAAAAAGATAATAACATTTACAAACGTAAAGTTACTTTGAAAGATTGGAAATATTATTTCCGCATAAAGGTGATTTGAAATTCCCGCCAATGAATATATAAACACTATAGCATCTATACCGATATATATCCTTTTTCTCTATGATAAATTATTTATTATTTAAAAAGATAATAACATTTATCAACGTAAAGTTACTTTGAAAGATTGGAAATATTATTTCCGTATAAAGATGATTTGAAATTCCCGCCAATGAATACATAAACACGATAGCATCGGTACCTGCGCAATGGTAAAACGCGCAGAAACTTTCTCCATGAACCTAGCTCGTCTACTAAAGTCCATTTATCCTAACTCTACTGCCAACCATTTTATAGTATCGACCGGATTATATTTATTGGTTATAAAAATTATTTCCTCAAATTTCTAACAACCTACTTCGAAATATCGTTTTAATTAAATCAAAATCAAAATATAGAAATCAAATCGTGCAACTTGTTGATAGATTATCTTAATTAAAATAATATTGAAATAACATTAAAAAGATAAATTTATGATTCATTTTTGATTGTATACACGTTTGATAGTGCTGGTTCAAAATTTGGTTATGTTAGCATAAATAAAGTGTAAGCGTCAAAGGGCGCTGCCGCAATCATCATCCACAAAACGTTGTGAACTATACTACTAGTGGTCAGTGAAGTTGTGTACGTCTATCGTGACTATAGTGGGCGAGGTTTTTTTTTTGTCCTTCCATCACGAGCAAATTCACATAGTGATATCATAGCGGAAAATACCAATTAGTATTCGGCCACGGGATCGTAAGAAATTCAAACGATCGTAAGTTACTTATATATATATAAATTTACTATATATATGTGTGTTCCTTCCGCGATGCTAAAACGTACACGTATCGTTCGTTCTTCTATACCTACTGCCAAATTGGCAACCAACTTGTCAATGAAAATCGATCCGGAATTATTTAGGTCAAAGGGCATCAGCCGTATTGGACATTTGCCGAATTTAAATTCTAATTGTCGATACGTCGGACATTCGATCACGGACAACCTTACCATTTAGTTTCTCGTTCGTTTGCAACCTATCTACTGTCAATCCCACACATCTTACAAATATTTTTATTCATTTTACTCGTTCAAAAAAATATAGTGTTTTTATATTGATCATCATTCGTCTATCTGACTTTAATATCTTCATTTTATGTTTTTTCTTTTATCAATTTAACAAGTCAGTTATTATTGTGAAACGTGACTCATCCTAAGCTATTTCCAACAAATTGTTTAATGGTTTATTATATTCTTGTATTTGAAAAGTCATCACTTTGAATGTATTGACAATAAGTGTGCTATAGATAATTATTGTTATTATTAGTATCACAACTGATAATAGATAAAATATGTCACGAAAACATTCAGTAGTCGATCAACGACCATGGGATGATTTACAGACATCTGCATCAACCAAAACTACCACCATGACAACAGCTGCTAAGTTATATGGCAAGGATCTAAGTGAATACGAAGATATTGATGTCGATGAATTGCTGGCGCAGTTAACATCTGAAGAGATCAATATACTTGCCAAGGAAGTTGATCCAGATGTAAGATTTAAAGATTCTTGTAGTATTAAACAATATTTAATCATTTCTTTTTTGCATGCATTTTGTATCACGGTGTCTTTTTTTTTTTGTATTATTAAATTATGATCTTACACTCTACATTCTATGCACATATGAAAGATTTAAGATTATTAACAAATGTATATTATTTTTTCTAGGACAGTTTTATGCCTCCATCACAGCGTTGCAGTTATGAGTGCGACAAAAGTCCAACTGGTCCTCTTAATCGAAAGAAACTCATCGAACATATTAACAAACAAGCTTTGGAGACACCGGATAGACCAGAATTAAAACCATATGTACCTGGAGTTATTAGAGGAAAGAAAGTAAGATTTTAACAATAATTATATCATAAAACTACTACATACAAAATCTAAGTATACAAATTTTATTATTGCAGTGGATCCCACCAGTTCAGGATAATGCGAAAGAAAAAGAAGTCGATGAGCAGATAGCGATAGATCTTGGTGAAGAATATGAACAAGCATTGTCTAATGCATCTCAAGAAGAAATTATTGATCTTGCTGGTAAATACAATAATAACAGCATTATACAGCTAGATTAATCAAAAATATGTAAAAGTTATTATAAAATTGATGTTCATTTACACAGCCATTCTTGGGTTCCACTCTATGATGAACCAGGATCAATATCATGCATCTTTATTAAATTCTGGACAGCCTGTTGGATTGGGCTGGGATGGAGTGACGAAAGCTAGTCAACCAAAACCTTATCCGATGGAACCACCTAATGATACGGATGTTGATGCAACTATCAAACAAGTTAGAGATGACGATTCTAAGCTAACCGAATTAAATTGGAATAATATTAAAGTTAGTATTTTGAAAATATTTTTAATTTCATTTAAATATTACAGTAATGTTATATTTATGTTCATTTTTATTTTACAGAATATCTCGGACGAGAAATTTATCCAATTGTTCGAAGGATTAGAAGGAAATACGCATCTCGAGTCATTGAGTTTAACAAATGTTGGACTTAACGATAAAACCGCTCAAAGGTTGGCAGATGCCATGGAGAAAAACTCTACGCTTAGAGTATTAAAGTTAGTAAAAAAAAAAATCATCTAATTAAGTAGAGATATTAATCGTTTAGTGATATATTTTTGAACATCATTTATAATTTGTTTGTGTATATGTTTTAGTGTTGAGACAAATTTCATAAGCCCACCTGTGATAGTTAGGCTCATCAGAGCTCTTTTAAAGACCAAATCTATCGAAGAATTTCGATGTTCTAATCAGGTAAACATTACAAAATCAATTATTATATATAATTATGTATATATAAGAAATAGCATAAATATTCTTATCATCTAATATTTTATCGTATTTTCATTTTGCATAGAGATCACAAGTTTTGGGTAACAAAATTGAAATGGAAATTACACAATTGGTCGAACAAAATCCAACGTTATTACGACTCGGACTTCATTTCGAGTTCAACGATGCCAGACATCGCGTTGCTGCACATTTACAACGTAACATCGATAGGAGTAAGTAAATTAATATACAAAATGATATTTTCAAATAATTTCTATTGTTAATTATTTTAATGAAAATTCTTGTTATTAGAGATAATTAAGCACACAACGCGCGTTTATTCATTTTTACGATCAATAATTTGCAGGATAATCAATCGTATCATTTTTCTAGCTCTCACGAGTATTATTTTTCTCGATATTTTAATTTCATTTTAATTGTATCCATTTTTTTTTTTGTACATAGAATATCAAATGTGTTGCAGAGTGCAGTCATTATATATGTATATATAAAATTAATTTATAAATTAGATAATATCTCAACGAACGTTTTTAATTGAAAACGTTATTACAAAATGAGTTATTGATGTTTTCGTTTAGATGGGAGCAATTGTATGAGGAACAATGGAGACTATATGACGAAATGCTTCTAAGCCTTTTTTTTAATCTGCTTAGTAGTCCTCACGTAGCGCTTTATTAGCAAATCACTATTCATCCAAATCATCCCGCTATTATTATCATTCATTATTTTTTTAGTTAGTGGCATTGAGGTAATTATGATAAACCCCTTTAAGAGTGTTTTACCACCCCCCCCCCCTATCCATTAAATCAAATGTTTAAACAAAACCTCTACACCATTTAACTTATCCAAGATATTGTACCTAGATTTATATTTTTTTGGTTTGTTCTACTTAAAACAAAAACAAAAACAAAACAAAAAAACAAAAACCAATAATCGTTTTTAAACAATTTTCTTTGACTTTTAGCAAAGAACCGAAGATTAGCGTGTACTGATTATACACTATTTGGTATGGATCATTATGTTACTTTATTGTGGTTTCTTGTGTTTTGGCCTTAAGTAGATGATACAAAAATGCAAATAATTTTTGTTCATTGTTATAAACTACCCTCTCATACTCAATACAGAGTGAGGTTGACTAACTCTATATTCTCGTTGCTTATGTTTTCAATTATATTATACATATAGAAAAAAACAAAAGATATCAAATTCTTTACACTATATATACATACTTTTCAACAATTTAAAGAAAATTCATAAATAGTTTACTTTTTCAATATTTCTAGGTCAAAATCTTGAATCATTTCATTCATCCTTTTATCGCATGTCATTCACACGTAATAATTACACCAGTTCGAATCAAAATTGCACGCTTATTTTAAAAGATATTATTATTTTTTTTTTTTTTTTCATTTTTTTTTTGTTTTATTTGCTAAATCATATCATAATTCATCTCGCTTAATCATAAAATCATCTCGCAATCGAATCTCGAATCGTCAAAAAACTAATTTTCGCGAACGTATGATGAAATATATTATATTTTGATATATCACAGATTTAAATATAATATATTTGATAAAATTTCATTGAAATTTCGCGAGTGTGTTGTGTTAGGGGTATCATTCCAGTTGAAATGAAAATTCGAAAAATCCCTTTTTTTCTCAACAAAATAAAAAACAAAACAATTCGATTTTTCGCGTGAAACGTTTTTATTATATAAAAAAATGAAAAAAAAAAAAAAATTAAAAAATGTTCATTCTCTCGCTTATCTTTTAATAAAATAATATTTATATCATGCCAGTCTGTCGTGTGGAACCTATGGAACGCGCAAAGGTCGTAGCAATCGGTGTGGGTCGTGACACGTTCACCGTTCTTCATTTAGATGATCGAAAAAATCGAGCCTAGCGCTGAAACACGGCGCAGTGAGTAAAGAAAAATTACAATTCAAAAATACAACGAAGAATAATCCCCTACTTTTTTATTTTATTTTATTTTTTTATTTCAATTTTATTTTTGTCCTTTTTTACTACCCCCTTTTTGTCGATATTTCGTTCCTTTTATGTATTGTAATATCCTGGATGCATCACGTGACTTTTTATTATTTTATTGGGGGAAAAAAATCCAATCACTCTAAGCAAAATGATTTGATATATTTTTTAATCATTTTTGAATGTGAATGAGAGTGTTCAACAATCTTCCATTTTTAGGAATGAAAATAAAAAAAAAAGAATATTTTTCCAAGTTTATTAATTTTCTTTGTATATTTGTTTCCCCTTTGCAATTTTTTTTTTTTTGTTATTCGTATGCACATTACTTGTATGTATGCATCTTGAGAGTAAAGTGTTTTATTCTTATTTTTTGTTGTTCTATTTTGTATTGTACTTTTTAAATGTTATTACCGTGTTCAAATTGATAATAAATTACATCATTTGTCGAGATTGTTATTTCCAATTTTAGTAAAAGAATTGTTTTTTTTTTTTTTAACGAAAATACGTGAGTTCAAAAAAAAACTAACAAAATCCATTTCTTCTTCACGCATCCTCCCATATCTCGCATGATCGATTCACCATTTTCTTCTACACTTATATTACTTTTATTTATTTATTTATTAAATTTATTATATTTAGTTGCTCGCACACTAAATTTACAGTTTCTCTATTATCTTCTTCTATGCTATTGACGAAAACGTACAAATTAAATGATCGACTGCACGCTAAGATTTTAGGATAAATTTTTCAAGATTTATTTGTTTATTTTTTTACTTCTTCTTTTTTATAATAATAATAATAATAATAATAAAGTACGTAAAGATAATTCGATCTTTTCTCCAGGTACATACAAAACGTGTCTCTTATAATTCATATTTTTCAGGAATATACAGGTGTTTATTTTCTGAAGAAAATATTTCTTTTTAAAGTATACCAAAATACATATTACAACGTATATTTTTATATTATCTTTTTTATCTTCGAAAGTTTAAAAAAAAAAAAAAAATGAAGATACACACACGAGCATTTAATTACGATCAAAACAATTATTCGATTAAAATGAAACATTAGGTAAAGGCAGAATTCATAAGGTTGAATATAATTGCACATAAAAATCATTTTACATAAAATGAACTTGCAAATTAGATTCAAATGATTAATAATTAATCGTTAATAATTTTAATATTGGGAAAAAAATATTAAGTTATATTTAATTGTATATTTGTTTGTTATACTTTTATATATTTCAATATAATTATATATATTTGAATATATAATTTATATTTCATTTATATATGAATTTTATTATTATATTAATATATTATATATTAATATAATTATATTTATAATTTAAATTAATAATGAACAAAAATTATTAATCATTTGAAAAGTTTGTTAATATTCTGCTTCTACCTTGACAACAAATTTAAATACATATATACATACGAAATTATAGGTGAATCAAATGTATATACAAAACACCTAATAAAATAAAAAAATTACTATACATATATATATCAATGCCACCCATACATCAAGCAGCAGGACACATACACCATATACATACACATATACATACATTTGTACATATACATAATACATATCATATACATATATACATATGCATATATAAGAATACATGATACAATTCCATAAAGAAAAAAAAAGAGACATAAAAAATAATTGATACAATGTTGTGTGTCGTTGAAAAAAAAAACACCTGCGATAAATTACTTACGACACCTATTTATTCTTTCCCAACAGTACGGAAAGACCTAACGCTGCGGCTACAGTTCAGATTCTTTAACATGAACCACAGGAAACCTGCCTTGATTCAATGAAAGGTAGCTGCCTACTGTTTGCTAGTCAAATCGGCAGAGTGGGCTGCGCCTAATCTAATAGATTTTCTTTATCTTTTTGTTGTTGGTTTTTTTTTTTATTCTATTTTTTCTTTCTTTCTTTCTTTATTTATTTATTTCTTTTTATACAGGATAAACGGTATTGTTATAAATTACTTTTGCAATTTTATCATACATTTGATATTTTTTTTTTTTTTAATTAAACCATTGGCTGCCAACTATAAAATTATCTCATAGTGTGTGTTACAATTTTAGATTTATTTACAAATAGGTTATTTGAGTTAAATAATTCAATATTTAAGTATTGATAACTATTATTTATAATATAAAGATAATTTATATATATACTAAGATAACTCAATACTTGAGTTAAAAAAGTAATCCTTTGGGTATACATTTATTTGAAAATTACTTTGAAATAAATCAAAATGAACTTACAATGAGTTAAATCTCGTTTCTCAGTTTCGATTTTATATTTATTATATATATATATATATTATTTTTATATTATTTATTATATATGAACATATAAATTAAATTATTTAACATAATGAATAAACAATATATAGATTATTACAAAATGATTTATAATTCTACCGTTTATCTTATTATTTATGCGATATAATATAATAAATGCTGTTGATGATAGTTTTCGATGGCTGCTTAATTAACAATATGCTTTTGGTTTTGAGAATACGTAATATGCAAATTTTTGAAATATATTTCCAAAAAAAAAAACAAATAATAATAATAAAAGAATCTTGAAGGAACAAAAAATAAAAAAAAAATGCTCATTGGTAGGTCTAACAATTTGTTGTAAGTCGTTGAAATTTTGGTCAGGCAATTTGAAAACAACTTAAATCACCGGAAATAACTCGTACCCAACACCTTTTCCATCACCACCACTACCACTACCATCAATACTATTACAACTACACTTACTATTACTATATCACCATCTCAATTCCCACACGAACTATAAACTTTGGACAAGTTATTGATGTGCTTATATCCAAGTACTCGGATGGGTAAGAGGAAGGAAGGAGGGAGGGAGGAGGGAGGGAGGGGAAAGGGGGAGGTAAATGAAGACATGACGCGTTAATTAACACGGAAATATTTTTCGCGTGATTACGTCACTTCCTTGGCTTTGTTCCGTAAAAAGTCTCGAAAGAAAATTAAACTATAACGGTGAACCAATTAAACGCGTTTTTTTTCTGTCTTTCTTTTTTGTTTTCATCAAACGTTTTTCTCATCTCACTTTTTTAAAACCCCCCCAATCCTCCATTCCCATCATCCCTTGACATACAAATTATTATTTAAATTATTATATTAATAATAAAAATAATAATGATTATTTTATTAATTATTAAATATATATTATTTTAATATATTTATATAATTATTTCTTATAATTACGATTAATTATTTCTTTTTTTGTTTTTCTTTTTGTTTTCTTTCTTTACTGTCATTCGAAAATTAACTAAAATACATAATTGTCAATGATGCAAACTCTTTACATCACAATTTTTTTTTTTTTCACGTGGGTAATCAAAAATCAGCATTTTTTATCAGGATTTTTGTATTCGTGTATTTCTGGTGATCAAAAATCATGCAAACCGATAAAAAAGAATATCGTTTTGTTCTTGTGTGTACACACATACATGCATAAATACGTATGTTCGATTTTGGCTTTATACGAGGACGATTACTCTTTGATTATTGTATATATGTATCATAAAAAAAAAAATAAAAAAAAAAACCTGCTTCTTGTTTACACGGTTAATCTGCATCGCGATATTCAACGATCCAATAACTTACCCTTTTTTTAGGGTGGTGGGGTGGTTTTTTTTATTTTTTTTTTTTTTTTTGTAATACTTGTCTATAATTTATACACTCGTCCAATCAAATATATTTCCAATTTAAACAAATTTTTTCTTCCTTCCCCTTCCCACTTTATTTTACTTACTTTTAATATGCTCAATTTAACACACACACACACAAACACACACATGTACATATATAAATTCCTAAGTTTACCTCAATAATTTACTTTTAACATATTGACTCACTGTATAAGCCTGACTCGCGTTTTTATTTTTACGAGATTCATCGATAATCTAATTGGGGGTGGTTTGTGCGTGTATTTGTGGTTTTCTTTTTTTTTTATTCTACTAACAAAATTATATGTGAAAATAAGGGAAGAAGAAAAAAAATGCGAAAATACTTATTAACCATCTCGAAATGTTACTTTCTATTTTCTTTTTTTTTTTTTTCTAGGGAATTGTTTTATTTTTTATTTAATATTTTATGTGGATTATTTAATTTGAATTATTACAATGATTTTAAAATAATCATTTCATTTTTATGGAAAGTTATTATTCGTTTCTTAAATTAAATATTAGCATGTTTGACATAGCACAAAAAGATTTTAATAATAATCGAATTATAAAAAAGAAAGAAAGAAAATGAAAATGAAAAAAGAAAAAGAAAAGGAAAGAAAGCAAAATTTCGAGATATGGTCTGACTTTTTCTGCATTTCATGGCATGTCAACTAACAAAAATTAGCAGAGTTACCAACAATGAGAGTACATTGGTTTATCTAATTTCTACTCGTTAAGAGAAAGACGAAATGAAATTTAAAGAAAAAAAAAAAAAAAAATAAAATAAAATAAAGAAAAAAATGAAAGTAAAGGAGAAAGATAAAAAAGACTAAGTAATTTTTGTGTTCTATCTTTACTAGCAAAATAAAATAAAAAATAAGAAAAGAAAAAAAGAGAAAATCAACAATAAATAAAATAGCAATAATAAAAAAAGAGACATTAAAAATAAAATAAAAATTAAATAAAGAACAACGTTCGTATTTCTCAAATTAAATGAAAAAAACAAAAAAAAAATGAAAAAAAGGGAGTGGATATTAGTTGCCGATGTGTTTTGCATTAATTTGCATTAATAAAAAAAAAAAAACAAAAAAATAAACAAAATATCTCTTTACCGGAATGCATCATCAGTTCGGTAAAGAATATTTTCTATCTTGTTCTTTTTTTTGTATTTTTTTTTTTTTTTTTAATTCTTCTTCTAATATAGTTTAAAAAGCGTTGCTAAAAAAAAGGGCGCATTTGATGACAGTGTTTCGGGTGTCTGTTGCAGTACGGCAGTCCCGGCTCGGGGTGGCGACATCTTAACGCGAGTGGCGTTCGCCTAGGTATTATTATTTGTAAATATATATATTTATATGTATATATATATATTTATTATATATACATGTATATTAATGTTGTAGAATTTGTATGTAGATATCATTTGACAAAATTGATTTTTTTTTTATAATTCTCACCAAAATTCCTATTAAAAAAAAATTTACTCCTACCGCTTTTGTTATTAACCCTTTCGTTGTAAATATATATATATATATATATATATATATATATATATTCGATAAAAATTAAAAAATACGATTGTTTGTGTATGAGTCGTTTTGTACAACGAAAGGGTTAAAGGGTTGAAAAAAAAACCATAGGAAGTTTACTACCCACTCATTCCCCATTACTACGCTTTGTTCTATTCGAATTCAACGTTGCCTTGCTTTTTGTCTCTCTCTCTCTCTCTCTCTCTCTCTCTCTCTCGAAGCTTGTTTTATTTTTAAATTATTACCTAAGAAAACATAAAATATAAAAAGAAAATATAAAAAATATGGTTGAACTATTTATTGCTCACTTTAACACAAGGGGTGCGGAATAATTTGATATTTTTTTGGCGACGGTTCAACATTTTTTCACTCCCCTTCTACTCCCCCCTTCCCCATCCCCTTCCCTCTTCCCCCTCCTCCCTCCTCACTTTCTTTTATATTTTTTTCTCTCGCAAATAATTTCTCGGTAAAAAATAAAAATACTAAAATACAGATTTATTCTTCAAAAAAATTCCCTTTGTTTTCTTTTTTTTTTATACATTTTTTAGTCGTTTACTACGAAAATTCGCATAAATAGTTTTCCTGATTTTATTCTTTTTGTTTTTCTCTTATTTTTTAACTGTAGACATATTTTCTTTTTTTGTTCTTTTTTGTTCTTTTTTTTATGAATATTTTAGTCGCTTACTACCTAAATTTGCAACAAACGAATAAAATTAAAAAATATAATAATATTAATAATAGTGTTAATACTAATAATGACAATAAATAAATCAAAGAAAAAGAAAAGTTGGATGTTTAATTAATTAAAAAAAAAAAAAATTATTATATTAATTAAATGTACACCTTAATAAACAAGAAAAATCATTTTTATGTCTCCCCGTCCTCCCTTATTGCGTACAGTTCGTGTTTTCGTTGTATTCTTTCATCCTTATTCGCAAAAAAAAAAATGTCTACCTCCAACTTTTATATACTCAACTCATACATCTCTAATACGTGTATGTTTTTCTATCCCATTTTTTTTATCCTCCCTTTTTTTTTAACGCATGACACATTAGCTTGCTCTGATTCATAGCCTTCTGTGTGTGTGTGTGTATTTGTATATGTACATAAATAAATAAATGTATATATATATGTATATATTACCGATTAGTCATTGACCAAAGACACGTTTCATTCATGCTTTATTTTTTTTTCGTTATTTTGTTTATTTACACACGATTTGGGTGGCTTATATTTAGTGCATCATCTATCTCTTTCTATCTATCTATCTATCTATCTATCTAACTATCTATCTATCTTTATCTATCTATCTTTATATCTAGTTAAAATAATTAATTTTGATTTATTTTCTTCTTCTATCTTTCTTTATCCTATTACATGTACTATTTTTTGTTTTGTTTCAACGCACACTTCTATGTATTTTTTAATTTCTCAATCATTTGTTTAAATATATAAATATTTAAAACATCGGATCGACAGTAACGAAAAGAATTCAATTTCGTGGCTGCCATTTATCTTATCGTTTAAATATTTTATTTAAACGTACAAGAGAAGGAAATAGTAGAAAAGGAAAGAAAAAAAAAAGCAAGCAATCATATCATATAAACAATTAAAGTAATGTCATTATAATTATAAAAGAGTATAATATGCATCCTGATAAAATTATATCTGTCGGAACCCCCTGATGATAATATACGTATGTATCAGAATGACAAATGCAAGAGTAAATGAAAATAATAGGAATGTATTAAAATAACTATTGTTTAGAATTTATTTATTTATTTATTATTATTTTTTTTTTTTTTTTAATCGCTTCGTCTAGCATGGCGAAAAAATTATTTCATGGTTTTTTTTTTGTCGTTTTTTCTTTTTTCTTGTTGATTATCTTTTTCTCTTTTTACGTACTATCAAATACTTATTTTCTTACTCATTCTATCTATCTATCTATCTATCTGTCTGTCTATCTATTCTATTTATCTATTAGTACTATCTCTATTTCTTTATTTCTATTAAATTTTCACTGTATAATTGTGATGATGATGATAATAATAATAATTGTAATAATAATATCCTTGTTTTACAGCAACCATCTTGAATGTTCCCCTAATTTGTTTAAATTAACACGTTCCGTGCCAAGTTTTTTTTACCTGACTTGAATGACAAGTCATTTAATTTTGCTTTAACAAAATCAACCCCATTACATGTAATTATTAATTATTGTAAATATAACAATTAAACAAGCTTACGTACTTTTTTCTATACTGCATTTTTTATAATGCATCAATATTTTAATAGAAATATTTTTAATTTGTTATAAATATATATTTTCAATGCATTAAATAAATATGTTTAATGGTAAGTGTACCACTGGTGGTACACGTGGCACGGAACATGTTAACAAGTAGGCTAATCGAAGATTAGTAATCTTCGTTGATACGTTAATATCGAACACCTGTGTGTGTGTACCCTAATCAGTAGAACTAAATAACTTACTATCAAGAAAGTAGCATGAATTGAAATGATTTATTACCCTAAACAGTTTATATATATATATATATATATACGCGAGAATGTTGAAAATAAAACAACAATAAAAATAATAACAAAATATAATAATTCAGGATTTCATCCTGATGAATAAAAAATTGACAAACGATCAACGTTAATATTGATAATCGATAATTGAGAAAAAAAAAACGAAAACGTTTAAGTGCACTTTTCGCATATCGAACGCTTATTTTTAACACCTCGCATATAAAAAAAAAAAAAATTATAAAAAAATTGGATAAAAAATTCTCGATTATTTTATTTTTTATTTTTTATGACGATGATCGAGAATGAGAGACTTTTTGAAATTTGTCAATTTGATATCATATTTTTGTTTGTTTTTGTTTATCTACACTGTTGTGGAAAATTACAAAAAATAGAAGTAAAGGAACATAAAAAAAAAAAAAAAGAAAAATCAGTAGGGTATAATGAAAAGAATCGGAAGAAATAGAAAGAGTGAGGGGTTGAGGGGGTGGTTAAAGCTACTATCCTATCGTTGATGGAAATGAAAAGAGAGTATAAGGGTAGAAGGGAGTGTGGAGTGTATAGGGGATTAAGGAGGGGGAGAGAAAAAGTGTCCAGCAGAGATATTAATTAAGAATGGTACCTCGTATGTGTGTTGGTTGTATTTTGATGTCATCTGACTCACCTATGCGAACCAATACAAACGCATATACGCGAGATTGTTGGGTTTATAGTTAGTGAAATAACAAACGAATGAAATAAAAAATAAAAAGATGAATGAAGGGTGGGGGTTAGAGGGGGAGGGAGAAGAAGGGGGTTAAAGTGTACAATGTAGGGGATAGAGGGATAGAAACAGAAAAGAGTAACACAACAACAATAACAACCAACAACCCAACAAGTAAAAATCGAGAAGTAAAAAAAAAAAGTAATTGAGAGAGTGGAAGAGAGAATGTATAGTAGAATGTGTGAGAGAGAGGGGGAGAGAGAGAAAAGGGAGGGGAGGGAGAGGATTGACTGGTCCCGATCGAAATTCGAGGCAATTTATTCGGTAATTGAAGCTTCAATTATTTTTCTGAACCGAGTTTCACAACTAAACTCGATATATTTTTTTTTCTCTCTCTCTCTCTCTCTCTTTCTCTCTTCATTTCTTTTTTTCGATACTTTTCCTTTTTGTTTTATTTTATTTTTGTGAATATTTTTTTTTTCTATTCCTTTTTCCCTATCCTTTCTTTTTATCGAACGAACCAACGAACCTACGAACAAACGGACAAAAACCGCACAATTTATCCTCTCTTTCTCTCATTTTCTCTTTTTCTCTTTTTCTCTTTCTCTTTTTCTCTTTTTCTCATTCTGTTTCATCCAATCGCTACTCTTTATCCCGTGTAAACCACGTTGCAACATCGTACGCTTATGAATCCTACTATGATAGGAAACACTATTCGAGCTATGATAACTCTTGTTCACTTTATCTTTACCTCCCACCCTTCTCCACCTCCAACTCCACCTCCAACTCCACCTCCTACTTCTACTCTTCATCTAGCCCATTCACCTTTGTTTCGCACGATCGAATACTTCACTACGGTCATTAAACTCGGTTACTCTCGCGTTTCTAACTTTTGCGTTTGCCTTTTCTAACCAAACGTAAAGAAGAAGAAGAAGAATGGAAAGGTACAGGAGCTATTTTCTTTTCATTTAGTATACTCAACATTTATTATTATTATTATTATTATTATTATTATTATTATTATTATTATTATTATTATTATTATTATTATTAATTGGCATTAATAATTCGAAAGTTCATTGCCGCAAATACCAAATTCCACCAGTGTTCTCGTCCCTGAGCGCGGACCCCGTCCATTCACGGTCTTCGTAGCCTATTTCTTTAAGATCCCCAAATAATATTGTCCTCCCATCTACGTCTCTTTCTACCCAGTGGTCTTTTCCCGTTGGTATACTGACCAGTATTTTATACACCGTTCAATCCACCCCCATGCGCCCCACGTCACCTGCCCATCTTAATCGGCGTGATTTTACGACATTAATGATGTCCGGTTTGTTGCACAGTCGGGGTATTTCTACGTTATGGGGTTTTCTCCATTCACCCGTTTCCTCATCGCGTTTTGCACCGAACATTTTACGAACAATTTTATTTTCTCAAACTCTAAATTTCTTTACGTCCCGTAACGTAAGTGACCACGTTTCACTACCATAAAGGACTACCGGTAGGATGATCGTTCTGTATATCCTGATTTTGAAACGCCTAGACGTGCTGAGTAAT